ACGTTCTTACAGGGTGCCGGTCTCTCTGAACCGCGAAGCAGAGCCGTGCTGGTGGAAGGCGTCTGGTTTCCGTTTCATACTTGCGGCCTGATCAGGGGCTCATATTTTCACTGTTTCCGGCAATGTTGTCATAAAGCTGCTTTCCTTTTTCATCTTTTGTTCCAGTTAGAATGTTCTAGAACATTCTACCAGGTTTGAGACCTGAACCTTGAAGATGCCCCTTCTCCCCCAGCGCTGCTGGACGGGCTCAGCTCGGTGGTTTTTATGCACAGGCCGGAATTCCAGCCTATTCTGTGCAGTTATATAATTGCCCCCTGAAGTGGAATTTTTTTTCTTGTAATTTCCTGCTAGACACCAGCACCCCCTGTTAGACGGAGTGATTTATCGAGCCGTCTGGCAATGGCATGGGGGAAACCCCCCCAGGCTTTTAACAGGGCTTATCGTCGCTGGGACGTTACAGACCCCAAACAGCTTCATTAACTTCCCAGATGTCTGAATGGATAGAATTTCAGTCTTTGTATTTTATGAGGACTAAGCCACTAATAACACAAGAAAGCTCCGGGGACTTGGAGACCTCGATACCCTTCCCAGGTGGAACAGCGCCCTCACATCGCTGTTCCAGATCAGGGCTGGTTTCCTGGCCATTCAGTGACTGTGCTTCTTTTACATGTTAACACGTGAACACAAACATCAGCAGCCAATTTGGCGTGGCACTGATACACTGTATCTGTCGTATTTTATGGGGTTATGTTGCAACAAGTTATTGTATTTTACATGCAAAGTGTGTGTTTAATGGAGGGGGGAGTGTGTGAGATGTAGAGTGGGAGCAGAACTAGATCAGACCTGCTCTTTGCTCCCCCCTTCCTGTAGGATTCTGTGGAATTCCATCAGGTAATGATTAAGTACGGGGTCGGAGGGGGTCCTGCACGGTAGGAGTGCAGAGCTGTGAAAGGGCCCCTGGCATTGCACGCCTGTGGCGTTGGGGCCCGCCCTGCATATCTGCCTCCCCCTTTCGCAGTCACACCTTACTGTCACACCTCTTCCCCTCTGACCGCACCCCACATGACACAATCCTAAAGGGGGGAGGGGCCAAGGTGGTAACTCCCCGCTGACTCCGCCCTCCAGGAAGAGAGTAGGCAGCGCAGCGGGCCAGTTAGTTCAGAGAGGCACCAGCCAGCGAAAAAAGGAAACTGACAGCGCCCAGCGGGAACTTGAGATCGAACCGCTCACTCACAGCAGCTCACACCCGCTCTCAGCCGGTCACAGGCAGCCTGTCGCACCACAGCCAGACGACGAGTCATTGTGCTCAGCGCCAACGCAAGACACCATGTCTCAGGCGAGGTACAGAAACTTCTCCACAGACGGGAGAGACAGGCTTATGTCGGACGACGGCGTCTTCCAGGGGATGCTGAAGGCTACCGACGGCAGGAAAGGTGTGTGGTTTGCGCAGACCGGGCCGCTCCTGTCATGGTGGCAGATGCTTTTGTGTCTGGCAGCCAGGCTTCCTGTGGTTAAAGCTGTAGCTGTGTGTGTGTGAGTCTGTGTGTGTGTTCAGCGCCTGCCTGCCCTTGCCTCTTTCTTAGGTAGTCTTTCCTTAACACTACACCCAAGCGCTCAGTTTCCAAATGATTCACATCCGAGCTCGGCGGGCTTGGGGTTCCTTCATCTCTGTGCCCCGTGAGGTCTGGTCAAACTCCGCTTTTCATTGCAAATCAGGGAATGTGTGCAGGTGTGAGAACTGAGAGGAGCTCACGTTAGCGAGGTTTTTATTCTGCGCGCCACGGAGAGCTGACAGGACCGTGAGCCGGCGCCGTGTTCTGGGAGAACCGCCTTGCTGTCTCCTAATTCCTCAAATGTGCTGCTCAAATGAATGGAAAGTCTTTTTTTTTTTTTCCATGGCCTTGATTCGAGTGGGAACAAAAAAAAAACACAGTGGAGCCTTCAGTTCATATTCCCGCAGTGCTATTGGCTCAAGTTGTGATTTGGAGAGGGGCGCTGTCTTCTTCACATGTCATTGTTTTAGAGCCTATGTGATTGGCTGGCCGAGGCAATTGATACGGAAGCAGCCAATCAAAATCTTCTACTGATGTAGAAGGCCCATGTGTAGGAGATATCTCCAAAACATAAACTACTGCATGGAAAGAGCTGCTTGTGTAATGTCATAACATGTTATGTGTGTGTCTGCACACTAGGGGAGGGAATTAGCAGAGACCCCTAATTCAATGTCACATCGTTGGCATGGTTTGCTATATGCGTTTACCGGTTTGATATGAATTGCCATTTTTAAAATGGTATTGCCATTTTTTTTTACTTTTTGCTGTTAAAAACAGATGATAATCTTGCTGCTTTTAACATGACTCCTCTTGAGCATTTCAGGTCTACATTTAAAGTAAAGACATTCTCACATTAACAAGCCTTTATTGGGCTCTGCTGAACAAATAAACCAGACAAAAAGATCAGCGTAATTCTGTTCAGTACAAACGACACAACGTCACTTCAGCAGCAGCTGCTTTTTAGCAATTAAAGGATCATAATTAAAAATGTGGCCAGTGACATGCATACAGAAATCACCACCTTTACAGTGACATGCATACAGAAATTACCACCTTTACAGTGTACATGCATCTGAGAACAAGCAGGGTATAAAAATTAAGTGGCAATTTGAAACTGTAAAAAATGTCTTGCTAAATAGCTTTGTTTAAAAAATTAACTAAAATGCAGTGGATTTCTCCTCAGAATGTCAATGTCAGTGAACTCATTATCCACTTAGCTTTGCCACTGCAGCCTGGGCAGATGTTTGAAGTTGTGTCGAGGGTTTGCCTTGTGCACGTAACTGCGGGTTTGTGGTTGTCCAGCTGGGGATGGTGTTCAGAGAGATGCACGCGATTGATGGCACATGTTGATGGTGTTACCACAGTATTTTACCATGGCAAAGTGTGATATCCCTGTGCCGACTGATGCATGTGAGTCTCTTAACAAAACCAGGCTTGTGCAACTGCGCAGCTTAAGCAAAAAATGTCACCAACATGCAGTAACCTACACTTAAACTAACTACTTAATTAAATTAATTTTTAACTCTTGTGGCAATGTAAATGTCGCCAAATTGAAGAATCGATATTTGTAACTGAATCGATTTTCCCCGACCCACACTGTGCACGCGTGGCTAATCTCTTGAGGTGTGAAATTCTTGCAGGTTGCCACTTCATACAATCACACACTTATATGTCTGCTTGGGTTCCTCTTTTCAGTGTTGCTGTTTCTACATTTTGTGGTTCTTTTCACACTGGCATATCTCCATTCCTTAGATGGCCAGGATCTTTTAGTCAAACCCGGGTTCTGATGGTGAAGTCGGCTGTCTTCCCAGTTCAAGCAGGGAGCCTGCTGTGTCGATTAATCGTTTGTGTATTTGGGAATTTCTCCTGTGCGCTGTGCCGCTGCTTATCTTCACGCTTGGGATGATGAGTGGGATTCACCAGGTATGACAGCCGTGCCTCTTCAGGACCCCTGGCCTCCCCTCACCCAGCTGCCTGGTGCAGGGATTGAATGTTAAAGCTGCCTGTAATTGGTCTTTGAAAATACCAGTTAGTCCTGGGCTACAGGATTTACTGACTGTTGAGGTGTCAAAAAAGATCTCTTCATGTCTAAAAGGCTCTCACCTTTGACCGTGCTGAACGCTGCGGGCCATTGTCAGTCAGAGAAGGAGTGTTGCTCTCTGGCTTTTGCTGAGCCCCGAGGCGTCGGCTGGCAGGTCCCACCCAGGACCCTGATGCGTCCGGGGTCAAGGTGCACTGGGCCATGACTGGAGCTCTGGGTGTCACCTTTCCCATTGCAAGGGCTTGCGGTTGGTGTCCCGTTCATCTTCAAAGTCTATTTAACCTGAGAAACTTGAGTTTGCGAATGGCCCACCAGTCATGCTTTTGTCTCCGTGGTAACTCATGGCCTGCCTGGACACATCAGAGTGATGGATGGGTCTGCGAGATTGGTGCCTCTCCCCAAGGCTCCCGTGGATCCCGGCTCTTTGGTCACTGTTTTTATGGGGCTGTTTCGTATCTGACATTTTCCCCTTTACTCGTCAAATGTTAAATTCTCTTGCTTGTTTTGAAAGACCACACAGTTAATCTATTTCTCTGCTCATCTCAGGGATTGGACAGCAGAGGGTGCACTTCTTAAGGGGTGGGGTTCAGGTGCTAATGTTACTTGTCATAAGTGTTATAAATGGATGCTGTGTGACACGGCGTGTAAGCAGATGTGCTGAGCAAACACACACACACACACACACACGTCAGTCTTCATCGGGGCCGTGGCCTCCATGCCTCTCCTCTCCGCCGGGGAAGTGAGAGTTTCTGCAGGCTTGTGCAGACTTTCCCCATATAGCCAGCGAGCCACACCCCCCTGGTTAGTTACGTAACTCCCTCATGGGGCAGACACGCCTCTGTCAGAGTGGGTACCCCCCCCCCCCCAGACAGTGTAGCCATGTAGCACTGGCCATTAGCCAACTTTCTGTGGTAGACTGAAGAGAGAGACCCGCGTCCTTGGGGTGAGCTGGTGGTGTGTGTGACACACGGATCTGTTTACACTGAGGACAGTAGGGGGTGCAGATCTTCACTCATCATTAACGCAGTCAGAAGCCTGACAAAGAGCTGACAGCTTTTCCTCGGTCTGTAGAGACTGTAAAGTGCCTGTTGGTGGCGGGATTCTTTCACGCTCCTCCAACCTCGTCCTTGGTCGCCCCCCCCCATGTGTGCCTTGCTGTTTGTGTGGGGCTGGCCTTCTCTATTGTCATAGAGGATCGGGTGGAGTGGGGCGGGGGCTGGCGTTATTGCTGGTGCTCTGTGATACCTTACACTGTGGGAGCCTCCCCCCGCCCCCTCAAAAGGGGGTTAGATTTGTCTTGGAAGGATTCAGACACACAGTTATGCTTTTCAGTGGATGGGTGCGGGGCTCTCCCCCGAGCACCAGGCTGACCTCTGACCCCCTCTACTCTTTTGTGTCCCCCACAGATGAGCGTGATCGAGTTCAGAAGAAGACCTTCACCAAATGGGTCAACAAGCATTTGATGAAGGTAAGACCTCATGGAAGAATCTGGCCTAAAGTTGTACCTTTTTGTAAGGGGGAGTGAGGAGAGCCACAATCGCATGGGGGATGCTGACCATTGGTCATAAAACCAAAAGTCACAAAATAACCAGCATTCTTCTCTGAGAAGACCCGTGAATGCTCTCCTCTTCAACTGAATATGTATTTTTGTAGCTCATTCTGTTTGGTGCATTGTGGGTACTACATGGTCTAATTATGGGTTTTTGCGAGTATCATGTAGTGAATGTGTTCTAGATTTTATCAAAAAGTAGAATTTAACATATGAACATGAAATGTTGTCGATGCTGTATGGAAACTTGGTATTACTGCCCTGAAACACATGGTAGTGCTACTGCAAATTATGGCTAAACAACCAGAAGATCTGAAGTTTTTCTTTGGACTGAGGATGACCATCACTGTTTGATGTGGAGGTACCCAAAGAGTCCTGGCTGACTCATTCTGACATTTCCACAGCAGAACAGTTCAGATGAATCATATTTATTCTGACATTTACTCTAAACCCCACTAAAGGTTTTTAATCCACTTTTAAAGGGACTGAAATGGCTGAATGTAAGGTTCCTGAATGACGATTATGGTAATTAACATCGTTGGTGCAAACCATATAGCAAACCATGCCAACGGACTTGGCGTTATACAAAGCCACAAGCACGTCCTGTCGTTCTGTAGAGCACTGTTTATCTAAAGATCTTTCGCTGTGTTGCGGTGGAAATAGGTTGCCATGTCGACTGTGTCATCAAACCTGCCCTTGCTATAAAGAAAAAAAAGTGCCCGTCCACCAATCTGGGCTCGCTGCAAAAACGGAAGGAATCATGGTGAATCATTGCTGTAACTATATTGAGAGCCACTAACTCTCATATCACTTGGTCTTTTAGTGCAGATGCTGAAATTCTTTGCCCACAAATCGAGGAGATGTTAAGGTTTTGCTTCAGTTTTTTATTTTTGTTAAATTGCTGGTATTTTATTTTATTGATATGAGAGAGAGGCCTTTTTAAATAATTGCTCTTTTGTGATTCATGTCAGGAAATCATATTTGCACTGTAGGTGAAGCTTTATGTGGTTTCGAAATTCTGCATAGTCGATGATCTTCAGTGAGAGAACAAACACAGCAGAAACACAGGTCTGATGTCTGAGCACAACCAGAGAGAGGGACACCTTCACACGACTGTGTCTTACATCAAGTCTCAGGCCAGCATCAGACTGTTTTTTTTTGTGCAGCTACTGAGGCCAGGAAAGGTGACATTTTCATCTTAACTAGTATTTGTCACCAAGGAGACAAATGGATGTTGCACTTTCAGTTTGGTTTGTATGACACTTTACCAAATAATATACATTGGTAACCATGGAGATGAAACAGCACCACATTATCCTCCTGGTGATGTCACACAAAAGTCACAGTGTGTTTGTCTGTCACTAGGATTGTCACTAGGATGGATACAGTGTCATAATTTTAGACGGGATTCTGAAGCTCTTTTGAGACTCTTGGTTATACTTTTAAGATTGTCGAAGACTAAGGGTTAGAGTTCTGGCTCTAGTATTAAGGGCTGCTGTATCAGCAGTGGTGTGTGGAGTAATGATCGCTTTTCCTAAGAGGCAGACCATGAAAACATCAAAATGTCAGTATGCTATATTAGCTCATGTCCAGCTTGAAGCATTTATCCATGGAGGGTTAGACCCTCAGATATGGCAATTATGGATATTTACTATTTTTTTGTCATTTAGGGTACAACAGCAGCACTCATGCTAGGGTTTGAATTAGCAGGAATTTGAATTAGCCTCACTTCCCGCTATTTTCCCCTCTACTCCTACCCCCCGGCCTAATTCGTCACCATCAGGAAAAAATGAGAAAGCTAGTGGAATAAAATCTTTTTCTGAAATCTCTGACGTAAAAAATAACTCAAAACTGTCACGTTTCATTGGCCGTGTTCTCGGGACAGCCTTCCAGCGCTGGGGGGGCTTGGGGGGGGGGGGGGGGGGGGGGGGGGGGGGGGGGACTTCCCGAAATAGCAGTCAGCCTGGAAGGAGGGTCTCCCTGAAAAGGCCTTTGTCCTCAGTGCTGAAACGCAGACTGCGGCCAGCGGCCCCCGGCCAGTGAGGACAGGCGCTCTGTTTGCTGCTGCGCCTCTGCCAGCATGACTCACCCGCATCTGGACCTGCTCCGCTGCTGCCCAGCACCGCAGCCTCACTCTGAGCTCCGGTCCAGCAGACCCACTGAACGGTAGCACATCTGGCCTGCAGACGGCTGAGTCCGAGGTTCTGGAGTTGGTGGCGGGGGGAACTCAGCTCGTATTACCCATTCCTGTGCTTTTCCAACGCTCTTTTGTCCCTCCTGAACACAGCCATACACAGCCGTACACAGCCGTACACAACCATACACAGCCGTACACAGCCGTACACAGCCGTACACAGCCATACACAGCCGTACACAGCCGTACACAACCATACACAGCCGTACACAGCCGTACACAGCCATACACAGCCATACACATTAAAAAGGATGCTGTGGGCCGGCTTTTGTTATGTTCTGCAGAAAGAGCCGGAGGCATGATTCAGCACCGACGTGCCGTGGGGCTCGTGAGGATGAGCGCGGTGCCTTGATTGCGCCACTCAGACCTGAGGCTGAGCAGCAGTGTAAATGGGTCAATTACCTAACTTTGCCCGCTCACATAGACTTTTATTGGTTTTGTAAATGCGTGTGCTGTGGGGCAGGGCCCGGTTGCCAAGGGATACTGAGTCATTTCCGGTCTGGTGGCAAGAATGCTGGTGTTGTGAAATGATGACGGGGGGGGGGGGATGGGGCTTTGAATGTAACCTAGGGGATAGGGGGAGTTTTCCTGTAATCACACCCGCAGAGTCTCATACGAGTTTGGGGTCTCGGGGGGGGGGCATAGGGCGCAAGGCTGGGACACGTGTACATGGGGAGTTTCCGCTGTCAGTTACAAGGTAAACATGTTGGCCAGTTATTGAGCTTACGTTTGTCTATGTAAAGCTATGATGATGACTGGGGCGTGGTACTGAATGACCGGGTCACACTTTACAATGACGCTCCCTTTGCCACTTGTAAATGGTAGTAACTCGTTAATAAAAAGAAAACTGTGGTATAACTTGTTTAAAATTGTCTATTAATAATTTACAAATTAATTAATGACCAGTTTATAAACCATTCATAAACCCTTTATAAAGTGGCACCTATGAGCGTGACGGCGACCCCAGCGACAGCGGGGTGATCCTCAGGAGGCTGTGACTGTTACGGCTCCCCTGCGAGCGTCTTCACCTCCTACTGCCCGCTGTGGGCAGCTGTCACAAGCCGCTGGCAGACGGACTCCGGGTTCTCGGTCTCCAAGGTGCCAGAGTCCTCCTCTCTCTGCTCCGCGCACTTCTCAGCATCACCAGCAGGTGGCATAGCGGTTACGGAGCTGGATAAGGTTGCCGGTTTAAGCCTCAGGAGGAGCCACTTTTATTTAAGAATATCAAAAAAAATCTTTAAACAACTTCCTATTTAAAGGCGATGATAAAAGCTGAATTATTGTCTATATAAAAGCAAAGAAACAAATGAAGTATCATACTAATCAGTCAAAAAAATTCTTAAAATCTCTTCATTTACTCCCTTGAATAATTAATATTATTCATATATTGAATCATTCTTAAGAAGTGAAACACAAGTTTAAAAAGTACATGAAGTGAGCATTTAAGCTCTAACTGTAGACATTATGAAATGCTGTGTTAAATGCAAAAGCCCCAGAGACAACACAGCATTAGTGTGGTGCTGATGGGAACGTACAGGACACACCGTAAAGGGCGCGGCCCAACCTGAGTGTTCAACACAAGTAGTGTGGAAATGGCGACCTCTAGTGGGCAATCTTTACATCACATTGTGGTGTGACCACCAGCAAGTAACACTGCATCATTCCTCCTTGTGAGTTTGCCTGCCAGTGGCTGTACTGCAGTGAGCCCTGTTTGCTGAGCGCACCTCCCTAACCCTTCCATGCCTCATCTCTCTTAGAAGTGGTTTTGCGATGGCATATTGTCCCACAGCACAATGCGTTTCTGGGTAGAATTGACTCAGCATTCTCAGAGATAGCCGCATGAGCGATGGTGGCAGGCCGCGATACACGATGGACGCAGGGAACTGAGCTTTCCGCTGTCACGTCATTAGTATGATGTCGCCTAGCAGTTTAGACAGACCAGATGGGCCACAGGCCTCCCTGAAATGTGTCCTGGGCTGCGGCGTTTCAGTCCATGTCAGTGACTCCTGTTGGTGCCATAACTCCAGGAAAGCTGCCTCTTCACGCTGAACATACATACAGTGCATGGAATTTCAAACAAATAAATAGTAAATAGTAAAAGTGTGTGAATGTGTGTACATATGTATGCTTGTAAACACTGTAGAAATGTCATGTATAGCCAGATTTTTTATTTGATATGATGGCTCGGTCTGAGTGGAATGACGCATGCAGGTCATCTCCCCCCCCCCCCCCCCCCCCCCATTCTGTGGTGTCTGATTCCGAGTCCCATCTCTCTCTGTCGTTAACGCTCCATCGCCTCTGTTCTCTACCCCTGTCTCTCAGCACTGGCGAGCAGAGGTAGGTGTACCTGGCCTGGTGGGCCAAGTCCTGACCTGCATGCTGACCCCTGCTTTGCTGAACCCCCCCCCCCCCCCAGCCCCCCTACTCACTGCCACGCCCTTATTCACTGAGGTTTCCAGCTCTGCGTTTCTGTAATTAAATCCTGGATGCCAGCCTTTGTACCGTATGTACATGCCGTTCTTCTTGGCATGGGAGTCTCGGTGAAGAAGCGCCGTGTCACGCCCACCCATTCGTTTGAACATCTCACCGTCTCTGGTTACCTCCCGCCAGCTGCTGCACAGGTGCCTTGAAGTCTGAGGTGGAAGAATTTTCCAGCCTTTTTCCAAGTGCAGGATTAACTTTCCTACATTTCCATGATGAAATTGTTCATAGTTTCCAGTCATGGAACAAAACAACATTTAGTGGAACAACTGTAACAATATTATTAATAGATATTTTTAGATGATCTGGTCGTCATCTACTATCAAGGGGTCTATAAATGTTCCAAACCTCAGACCAATAGTAGCACCATTCCCATGGCAACCAATAAAGCTTGCTCCCTTCCCCCCCACAGCACCAGGCCATCCTTAACCAATCACATTCACTTTGCTGCTCCTTTTTGCAAACTGTTTTGTGTATTTGATTAATTGCAAGAATAAGTGTGTTCAAACAGTGATATGCAAGACTAGTGTCTTCAAACAAGTGCACTCCACACTTCTGCTGATGGTTTATCCATGCTGGTGTGTTATGCTGCTTCTGAATGAGAATCTGGCGCCAAAATCAGCTCCACTGCTTGATGAAATACTCTGGGAATTATATAATGGCCTAGTTATTCTGGGAAATGGGAGTCATTTTTATACAGCCAGCTCACACGCAGCCAAGGAAATTTACATGACTTTACCCTAATTCTGAGGTATATTTTTATTGCTGCATGAAAAGAGCGAGGACAGGCAGAGCTAAATTAACTAAATAAAGACAGGAATCATAAGACGTAGATTCTCAGCTGGGTCAGTCAGCCGCCTCTCCAGCCATACCTGCAGATCCGTAACATTCTGGAAGCTGCCATGTGGGGCTGCATGTACGTCTACGTGCATTTCCTGTATTGGCTTGCAGCTTGGGGTGTTCCTAGAAAGGAATTTGATCAGTATTTTCATACCACTCCCCCCAGGGATGGTATTTTATCAAGCTGTCACAGGAGTCCTGTCACACCTGTCAAGGGGGCTGCAGCTGCTGAATGCCTGCAAAGGCAGTGTGCAGGGTGTGGTCAAGACTGGATGGGTGTGGTCAAAGTGTGCTGGGTGTGGTCAAGACTGGATGGGTGTGGTCAAAGTGTGCAGGGTGTGGTCAAGACTGGATGGGTGTGGTCAAGAATGGCTGGGTGTGGTCAAGACTGGATTCTTTTTGTTTTCTTTTGTTTCAAGTTATATTTTAGGGAGGTCAATGATTATTCTGAGAAAAAGTTTTGCTTTCGGCTGGAGTGATTTATTTCAGTCACAATTTAGCACAAAAGGTAATTTATTCCACTGTCAGATGTCGGCATGTGGCTCGGATTCACCCTCAGCAGGCCCAGCACTTCTCCTCCCTACCTGGACGTGACCTCGGCCCTTTTCCCTCCCACAGGCACAATGTCAGGTGACCGACCTGTACGAAGACCTCCGCGATGGACACAACCTCATCACCCTGCTGGAGGTTCTCTCGGGCAAGACGCTGGTGAGTCCGGCTGGCTGCTGATGTGAGGGAGGCCTGAGCCCCCCCGGCCCTGCCCCCCCGGCACTGCCCCCCTGGCTGGCCCATCCTGCGTTCTGCCCCCCTCTCTTCTCTGCTGTGTCAGTTGTCTAAAATGTGCAAAACTGCTTTCTTTAATACCTCATCTTTAACACTGTGCATAATAGTTAGATGATACCTAATAAATGACTACATCACAAAATAAAGAGAACCACAAGTAGTGTAGCATATACGGAAAAGAACGTGTAACTGTGAGGTACCAGTTCATGTTCTTAAAAGGTGCTGTTGGACCCTAGAGTGTGTTACTTTCACTGCTGCAGTGCGGTACCTACGTTCTACCCAATAACCAACTGTAAAGTTTCAATTTTGGATAAGAGGTTTAGCTAGTATTTTAATAATATTAAATTACAGCATGCTATTTTACATCTCCATCCATCCATCCATCCATGCATCTAGCCATCATTTTATTTTCTAATGGCTTATCTTCCTCAGGGTCACAGGGGACTCCCTGAATAGGATGCCAATCCATCACATGGGCTTATTGCACATTCACAGCTTGCCAATAAAATGTGTTCTCCAAGCCTTCAGAGAACATCTGCTACCACCGAACAATCCGTTTATCGAAACGTAGTTTCCATAAGGGACCGAACTGTGACTGTCACGGCATCCACAGCTTAGCTGGCCGCGCCCCGGCCATGTTGATAGCCATAACTCATTAACATCAGTCATGCTTTTTTCTGTGAACTGTCTGTACCTGTTTGACTCCTCCGTTTCCTTTCTACCTCCCGTGTGCTGACCTCTTCCCTGACCTTTGCCCTTTCACCCTTGCCTCCTCCTTTGCTCTGCTCTGGCTGGGGTAGCCGAGGGAGCGGGACGTTGTCAGGAACTTGCGGTTGGTGAGTGGGTCTGATCTCGGGCACCTTCTTGACGTGGCATGGGGTCACTCCCATTGGCTGCGCTGTGCATGATGTCACTTCCTATTTTTTTCCCAAAATGCCGATGCTTCCGAAGCTGTTTTGGCTCGGTGCCGGTATAAGATAAAGCACTTTTATTTAACCAGAAGGGCAACAACCTGTAAAATAGCGTTTTCCTCTGTAAAGGAAATGCACGTCAAGTCAGTGTCCAGCATAAATTATGTGCTGGAAAAAAAACATACTGATATACTGGAATTTGCCACGTTATAGAATTAGACTAATGTTATTTTCATATACAAATTTCATGTTTCTTCCCAAAATTTGTAAGACATTGGCAGATTTGCCCGACATTGCGAAAAGATGTGACATCATTCAGAGAAAGCCAGACAAAGCTGGACTAATTTTTAATAAAATACATAACTGACAAAATACTTCAACTAATCATATTTTTAGCTGAAGTGGAGCATGTTTGATGTCTCTCTCCTGTTTCTGTTGGTCCCTGGTGGGCTTTGTAAGGTTAGGGTTAAAGGTGATGTCTGTCACGTTGGTCCATTCTGTCTGTCTGTGGACGCTGTGGTTCATGCAGGCCGACTTCTCGTTTGTGTGTTTTTGGTGGAATCTGTTGAATGTCCGTTCTCTTCATGAACAACTTTCACCGTTGGCGGCGAGGTCTCGACTTCGGTGTAGGTCGGAGTATGGAGTCTAGTTGTCCCAGCGGCTTTCCACAGTCTCTCATACATTGTCTGGTCTTCACTCAGGTCCTCTCTCCTAGCTATCTGTTCAGGACCCACATTGACGTCTCCCTGGAGCTGTCACAGCCTGTCCTCGTACCTCTAACCCTACCTCCATTTCCTCTTCCTTCCTCTCCTCCAGCCCCGGGAGAAAGGGCGAATGCGTTTCCACAAGCTCCAGAATGTACAGATAGCGCTGGACTTCCTGAAACAAAAGCAGGTAAGATATGGTCAAATCTATGCCAGATCTATCCGAGCCCCTTGTCGTCAATATCATGGATACAACAGATCAAAAGTCAAAATTTTCAGGAATGATTAAGAAGAAGCAAACCTCTTCCACAGTATCTGCCAAGAATGTTTCCATGTGCAACTTTAAGAGTACATTACTAACCCAAAGTATGTCATTGTCATATCACGTCAGGCGTTTATTATGCAATAATATCATTTGAAGAGCTGCATTTAAGAAGTGTAGGTTATCTGAAGATTCTTAAGAGGAATGAACTTGGTCCTGTGACACTGCAGTGGTCATTCGCATTTACACGAAGGTCACCACGACAAAGCTTGCCCTCTTTGGAATTTGCCGTAAAAGCAGTGGAAATTTAATGCCGTAATTCTAAAATGCTCTTCTGTCTGTCTGCTGTCATCCAGGTCAAGTTGGTGAACATCCGAAATGATGACATCGCCGACGGGAACCCTAAGCTTACGCTGGGGCTGATATGGACCATAATCCTCCACTTCCAGGTGTCCGAATCTGTCAGTATCATGTTCCCATACCATCCCCTTTCTCTCTGCTTCAATCCAATGAAATCAAAATTAAATCTCCTCTTTTTCAAATTGGTGGAGGCCTTTGCACTGTCTCTAAAACATTGCTTATAATCATGTTTTTAATTTTCATCTTTCTGGTTTAATATAAAACTTGGAAGATAATAGCAGACGTTTTACAGAACCAGAATCTTTTTTTTCCATAAGTTAATTCCCAAACTGGGAACTTAGTGGAAATTAGTGGTGCTTAGGTCTTCACCAGAAAACAGAGGAGGACCAGCACCTGGACATATGTTGATCACAGTGTGTGGAAGCTGAGTTTCTAAAGCTTTCTTGGAGCAGAGGAAATGGCTGGTAATGGGTTTTATGGGCAGAAATCCCACCACCCTGTCTGTGAGCTGACACACTCCCACCACCCTGTATGTGAGCTAAAACACCCCCACCACCCTGTCTGTGAGCTGAAACACCCCCACCACCCTGTCTGTGAGCTGACACCCCCACCACCCTGTCTGTGAGCTGACACACTTCCACCACTCTTTCTGTGAGCTGCCACACCTCCACCACCCTATCCACTTATTGAAGGAGCTGTCAGTGTTGGAATAACACAGAGTAATATCCACATGTCACAGTATTCAGAGTAGTGACACAGCAAACACCCATATCCATATCTTTTTAAATGATCATTTATGTGTTTGTATACCTGGAGCACTTTATGCCCAGATCAAAGGTATATCAAGAACTCCCACCGGCATCCTCACAGTCACAATTCTAGCTCCTTTAACTACCACACCCCCTCCTGGCTGACCTTTTATCCAAGTCCTCATGGCTCATGTCTGCAGATGTGTCTGTTTAAATAGATATATCTAGTTAACTCAGGCTGCCCGAGGATGTGCATGCACTGCGGGCGTGTCTACACCTGAACATGGCTTAGATGACAAAACAATTTTTGTGCCAGTGGTAGCAGTTATAATGTCTGGTTTCTCTTGTGGAGACAAAGCACGAGGGCGGAGGCCAGGGCCACAGGGTGGTGTCTGTTGGGGGGGGCGGGGGCTGAGTCAGTGGGGATTTGTGGTGGGGAGTAGTTGGGATGGAGTTGGCTTCAGTGGCCCTGACCTTCGTGGCCTTAGATTGGAGGGTAGAGGTGGGCTGCTGCTGACAAGCTAGATCGGTGACCAGTGTGATGTTCTTTCTAAATGTGTGCAATACACATGGATGCGTCTCGTTATCCGAGTTGAACCACACAGAAAAGGGTGCGTGTGAGGGCCAGTGTGAGGGCCAGTGTGGGGGCCAGTGTGAGGGCCAGTGTGAGGGCCAGTGTGNCCAGTGTGAGGGCCAGTGTGGGGGCCAGTGTGAGGGCCAGTGTGAGGGCCAGTGTGGGGGCCAGTGTGAGGGCCAGTGTGAGGGCCAGTGTGGGGACCAGTGTGAGGGCCAGTGTGGGGGCAAGTGTGAGGGCCAGTGTGGGGGCCAGTGTGAGGGCCAGTGTGAGGGCCAGTGTGGGGGCCAGTCTGTGTCCAGCTTTGTTGGCACCATCAATGTCTGACACAAATGTGACACACCCTCCCCCTCGCAGATCTCCGACATCCAGGTGAACGGCCAGTCAGACGACATGACGGCCAAGGAGAAGCTGCTGCTGTGGTCGCAGCGCATGGTGGATGGCTACCAAGGCCTCCGCTGTGACAACTTCACCACCAGTTGGAGGGATGGCAAGCTGTTCAACGCGGTCATCCACAGACACAAGTGAGTGCTGGCCTGGTCCATGTGGGGGTGGGGGGGAGGAGCCTTCCTCAGCTGCTCACGCTAAGGGGCGGGGCTTCGGACATTATTAATGCACATCGGTGGCCGGGCCCTTGTAACGTTCGCTTGGTGGATTTCTGAAGAAAAAAACAGGAGGAGGATTGCAGCTGGATCCTGTAACAGGGCTACAGGGGTCGGTTTTGGTGGCACTGCAGCATGCAGCATCGCTGATGCACATGCGCTCAGGACAGCAAGCAGACGCATGTGATGTGGAGGCTCATTGTGGGCGGGGCCTCCGTCTTTATGAGTTACCGGGACAGGATGGGGAAGGGATCAGCGCGCTGCAGAAAATAAACGGGGAAGACAAAGGAGGTTTTCAACGGGCAGAAAGGAGTGGGGCGTGGGAGTTGGGGATAAAGAAAACCACAACAGGCGGGAACTGGGCTTACTGGGCTGAAACAAAACAGAGCACACTGATTTATGGACATCAAGGACCGAGGTCACACCCCATTCTCAAACTTGCATTGTCGCTCCGTGGCGTGCCTGTGCTGACCCGCACCCTCAGCACAGGTAACCTCAGCACAGGTAACGGACTTGTACCCTGGCGGGACTGAATGTGCTTCACCTGAGTCTGCTCCTCAGGCTCACTGTGGATGCTTCATCCACTGGGTTTCCGGACCAGGTGGGTAGACATAATGGTAACCGGGTTGGGTTGCAGTTCCTTAGGGGTGGCGGGGGGGGGGCTTTCTGTGTTTTTTGTGAGTCATTCAGTCCAGGAACACGCAGGAAGTCCCAGAGCAGAGGCGTTCACACCGTCAGCTGCAGGTCTTTCTGCTCTTGACTCAACTTGTCCCTAAATTCATTCTTTTCTTTGGACATTTCATTTATTTTCGGAGGGAATTCATGGCCTAAGGGCCTCTCATATCTGAAAGGGGAACCGCCCCTGTTTCAAAGATGAGCTGGCACTTACTAACCAGACCTAAGAGCATGGGAATTATTATTATTATTGTCATTGTTATCAGTAACCATGACAGTATCGTTACACAGAATGGCCTCTTATTGTAATGTGTTTTCCAACAGCATGTTGGCTTCTGCTGGCCCTGAAAAATGAGGCACTGACCATAATCTAAAAACTGAAATTGATTTAGTGATATGACATATGGCATATATTTGTAAATGTGGACTACACAGACATCCACGCAGACATCCACGCAGACATCCACGCAGACATCCACGCAGACATCCACGCAGACATC